CCTTCCTCAGGGTAGTCACTCCACCCGAGTAGGGAGTAGTCAGCTGGGCTGCAAGTTGGGAATCCCTTTTCACATACCCACACGCCCCCAATTAGCACCTCTCTTCTCCACGCTGCCCCTATTTTTCGACCCACTCTTGCTGCTTGCACGCCTAAGCAAGTCCCGCCCACATCAACTGGTGGTAGAAAGAAAGCCAAAAGCCATCGTCGAAACAGAACCTGACACAGAACCCTTGTAACCAATACCAAGTGCCAGAACAAAAACTAGCTCCACCTTCTTGCCGCAACTCTAGCTTCGCCCGGCACACTTTGTAGAGGCGCACAGCATTCCAGCCATGGAGCGCAGGATCAACTCAGGCCACAGCTACCTCGGCCTGGGGGTGTATGAGGTGGAAGTAAGGGCTAACCTTGAGAGGGATATGGCACCAGAAGCAGAAGAAGGCCTCATTGGCGAAGGAGCTGCAGGTCTGTATGGCAACGAGAACCCTGAAGGCGATGTGAACCATGAGGGCGACATGAACCACGAGGGTAGCAACGTTGATCAGGAGCCCAGAGAGCTGCAGTGGGAGGAACAGGCCCACATGGCTGCCCAGGGCCCACAGCACCGGAATACGCAGCCGCGATTCCAGCGCAATACGTTTACGCCGTTCCAGCTGCAGGAGCTGGAAAGTGTTTTCCGAGACACTCCGTACCTTGATTTGCTCACAAGGTAAGTACCTTGCTCCAGGAGGCGTCCAGTTCTGCAAGGAGTTTGAATTCGTTTCCAGGCGCCTTTTTCTCTTGCCTGGCTCCCTCCATCCCCTCCTGAGACACAAGCCACTGGGGGTCCTCGCCTGCCTTTGTGCTAGGGCGGGGGTGGGGTGGTGGAGAATGACTTCTGGTCATCAGGGTAAATATTTTCATGCAGCACTATATTTATATTATACATATGAATATTTAATATAAATATAGTACTAATTAAAATACAAAATATTGTATTTATATATAATTATAATAAAATAAAATACAGTACTATATTTCATGCAGTAAATATGTTCAATAGGTCAGTGGCCATTTTTGGTTTTGCTTTTTTGTTGTTGTTTTTTTTTTTTTGGTTTTGTGATGAGGACAAACCATTTGTAAAGGAAGCCTGGAGCTGGGAATTTCAAAAAAAGTATACTTGGGGGAGTTGCGAGAGGAGAAGGTAAATTTGAAAACAAGCACAAAATGTACATACTACATTTCATTTCATCCACAATTCCGCCTGCTCATCATTTGTGGGTTTTCTCTCCACAGAAGGGAGCTTGCAAGACGCATCGGTGACACTGAAACCAGAGTGCAGGTCAGTAACCCTGAGAAAAACCGTTCGGTAGAACAGCCATTTTAAAATCTACTTCAGGGTTTGGACATCTTTGTCCTAGACATTCGTAAATTGGTTTGTTTTATTGTCTTTTTTACATTAGCAAATAAGTTTTGAGCTTTGAAGTCTCTGTCAGTGGAA